CTAAACACTCGTGGCCTCTTCACATCCTTCACACTCGTGGCCTCTACATGGACACTACTGCCAGTCACCTTGCTGATGAACCGCCAACTGCCATAGCCTTAGGGAAAAGTCACTTTGTCTCCAGTTGTATTATCAAAATCCCATGCTTACAACTACATTCCCTGTTGCAAGAATGAATAGACAGGTATTACCCAAGTCAAATGTTCCTCTTCAGTGGCCTGGCATGAAATGGCATCATGGTCCCCTACTCCCACTCCCAGAGCATCGAGGGGGAAATAACCCAGTACAAAGCTAACAGTCCTTTCACAGCAGCTAGGTAGCCCCAGCAGAAATTATTTACCGAGGAATCCTGAATCACGTAGGCCCATTTCCAGTTCCCTTTTCCACACAGTTCTTCAGACCAACCTGATCATCAGTGTGTCTCTGTATTTACTGTTAATAAACTGGGATTGGTTTATGCTGTCCTCTAATTGTCAGGAGTTGCAAGGCTGTGTCCTGGAAGCGCACCGATATTTCAGAGAGGCTGGGCTTTAAAGCTTGGTTTGTTTCTTGGCATCTGCAATGGAGCTGAGCCTTCTTCAATCAAGAAGAGGACGTATTTGGTTTTGTGTTTTTTTTTTTTTTTTACCTATCTGTTTTGGGGCAAGGAAGAAGTTACTTTGAACACGGGCTGAATTTAACCTCCTCTCTATAAGTGATTGGCTATATTGCTTTTCAGCTTTATTCCCAAAACAAAATCCTGCACCTGCATTTTGCCATCTGTCACATGAGGGGCCCAAGTCACTGTGAGAAAAGTCAGCTTTCATTTTGGACATGGAAGACAAGATGTGTGGATGTTCTCAGCATGCAAACAGGAGCAATACAGAAAAATGTGTACCAGAATTGGAGGGAAAAATGATGGATCACTGGCTTTTGCAACTTCTCTCTACTTCTTTATGTCCAGATTATCTTCCCTGATTAAGCCTTTCTTGGTGCTGTAGCAGAACATTTATCATCTTAGAAGTTTCTCGCTTCATTAAAAGTTACTAAGGCTCAGGTGGCCCATGGCAGAGCGCATGGAAACTTAGAATCATAGAATCGTTTAGGTTGGAAAAGACTCTTAAGGTCATCAAGTCCAACCGTTAAGCTAACACTGCCATCCCACCACTAAACCATGTCCCTAAGCACCTTGTCTACCCGTCTTTTAAATACCTCCAGGGATGGGGACTCGACCACTTCCCTGGGCAGCCCGTTCCAGTGCTTGACAAGCCCTTCAGTGAAAAAATTTTTCCTAATGTCTAACCTAAACCTGCCCTGACAGAACTTGAGGCCATTTCCTCTTGTCCTGTCGCCCGTTACCTGGGAAAAGAGACTGTCCCCCACCTCACCACACCCTCCTTTCAGGCAGTTGTCGAGGGCAATAAGGTCTCCCCTCAGCCTCCTTTTCTCCAGACTAAACAACCCCAGTTCCCTCAGCTGCTCCTCATAAGACTTGTGCTCCAGAACTTCAGTGATTTCATAAATAATGCTCAGCTGCTTAAAGGCCCGAAGTGATGAAAGGCCAGCCAGGAAGGGCCGAGGCTCTTGACACTGCTCTGGGTTCATTTGTGTGTTGAAGTGCGGCATTAGGAGTAGGGTAGCCTAGCCAATTCCCTTTCAGCAAAGAGCAATTCTGCTGGCATCTGCACTGTTTTTACTCAGAAAAAGTATAATTAGAACAAAACCCCAAACTACTGACATACACAGTGTGGTTGTAGAGCATCATAAATGTCTTATCCACAAATAAAATGGTACGACTCCCAGATTGAAGTTTGTCTTGTTGGTTTCTGCACTGGCTAGACTTCTGAAAGATGGTGGAATCAGAAGTTAGAGCATAAAACTCAAAATTACTTGATGGATGTTATAAACCATGCAAGAAGATGTTAAGCTAGTATCTAGATAAACCAGGAAGCTGGCCTCTTCACCCCCATAATAATCATGACTTAAATTATAACAATAGCTAACAACTCTACCAAATATTTGAATTCTGTTCCATTTCTCATCAGAGACTGTTTCCGCTCGGATCCGGACAATTTTAATTGAATGTGAGCTGGCGCCGTTTCAGGGAAGCAGGCTTGAAAATCAGAAGTGCAGTTCCAGAGGGCAATCCCACCCCATAAGAGCTACACAAAAGACTCTTAAGCCTGCCTTTTCAAAGACCTTGAGTGTTTGCACTTCCTAGATTTAAGCTGCATTTACGCCCGACTCCTGTACGCAGGATGACTTAGGACAAGCAGAAGAAACACGCACAAAGCAAGAAGGCTGTTGCTGTTTGGCGTCAATAAACACGCACTTTCACGCACTTTGCACTCGCAGCTTTATCATGGAAATCATTCCGCACGCTCCTACTGCTAATGATCTGATTGTTAGGAGAAAGGCGGACCCCAGTCCTATTGACTGTTTACATCTTAATGTGCCCTGTTTTTGAAATCTACTTCCAAACTAACTGAGGTTCTATTGTGTGATACTTCCTCCGCAGCATCACACATTTGCAATCAGCATCAGCTCCTCAGCCATAATCACTTCCCGCCTTGGCTTCTGTTCAGCACTGCAGCTCGCCGCAAAACCGAACTCCCGTAAATCCAGTCTGTATAGATGAAATGGTATAGACACAGTGGAACTTAGGTGGCAGTTGGCAAGTGGTTTTATTCATTGGAAATGCTATAGACTGAGTTTGAAATGGTTGTAAAGAGCTAGGGTTGTTATTGCTGTGTGTTTTTTCCTGCTCTTTTGCTTGTATGTTGCCTTGAATACAATTTTAGCAATCTATCCCCTGTATCGGAGGACACCACATCACCTGCATGTCCCATTGGTGCAAAATACTGCAGATGCTTGCCATATGCCACCAGCAACTCCGGTCGGAGTGTTTGCAGAAACATCACGGCATTCATCTGCATAGAGGTGTCCATCTGCATCATAAGCGGAGTTGAAGTCTGAAATTATACAAGTGAGAATTCCCAAAGACTTAAGGACAAAAAACCAAAGCAAGAACCATATAACATTTTAGGATAGGAAGCTTCGTCATGAAATTCTAGTGCCTTAAAATAGTTCCAAGTAGAGAATGTTTTCTCACACTTTCGCAGTATTTCTCCTAATATGAACGACACGCACAATAATTGTATCTGTGTTAAAGAGAACTTCGCTATGATGAGCACTGCTGTGAAACCTAACTTTGCCCACATTCAACAGCAGCTTCCTATCCTGCTTACTTCTATTTATTTTTTATGGATTTCAGTACTTCAAATCCAGCTTTTTTGATTTCTCTGTATAACTTCCACTCCAGTTTCCATGCAGAGCACTGTAATCATCACTGCAGGAAAAGTCGACACTGAATCAAAGATGAGATAAATCTAGAGCATACAACAAGAAGATGATGGTGGGACAACCATTAAGGATGTTTCAGTGGACAAAGCCGGTACATGCACACGCCCTTGTGCTCCCTCCAGTAACAAACACCTTTTATCTGAAAGTGCAAGCACAGGGCAAGAAGT